TCAATTCATCTTTAATTTTGCTTCCTTGAAACTATGTTTTAGTCTCTAGGATATCTGCCTTTACCAGTTGAAGACAAAGCAATAATTAATCTCTCACACTGCTGATCAACCTAAGGTTTTAAATGAAAGTCACGGGTTAATATCTATTAACGAAATAATTGTTATCCTTAATCCGAGTATAACGCGCAAATTTGTTTTCATAACGTATAAATAGCCTTTACATTTGCATTTGTTTCGTTTTTAATCAGTTGTACATATGACTTTTTAGTAAAAGTAAAATATTTTCTGTCGGAGCAGTGATAGAAAACCCTTACACGAGCACAAACTCAAAACTGAAATGTGAAAAATCAAGAGAGATTGGAAAAATTTAATGTGGAAAAGGTGATCGGAAATCACACAGAGAAGATCCAAGCCGATAAGGGGTGGCCTGCAAGTATTCATTAGAGAGGCTGCTGGAGGGAGCAGCCAATAGCTGCCAATACATGGCCAAATCTCGGGCAATAACATTTTTTATTAGGGTCAAAGGTCTTCCTTATCAAGGATTTAAATACTCTATCCGTCCTGTCAAAGGCCAAGCAAGGTTGAAAACTGACCTTACCCTTCACAGAGCTGGGCACCTTAATGATCACATAGCTTAAACCTTCGAGGGGTAAGACAGGCTTTTTGCAGTGTAGTTGTCAACTCGCAACATTGTAATATCAGTTTTTCTTTATTTCATTTTGCAGGACAAGTATGTTTTTTTCTCTGGGTTGGTGTTTTCGAGCTGCTTGGCCACTGAAAATGAATTCGTGTCCGTCATTCCTGACCCAGATAGTCAAAAGCTATCCCGCGATCGAATTGGCCTTTATACTGGAGTTAGCTGCCTTCTCTGCATACTAATTGTGGCCTTAATACTTGTTAAAAAGGTAAAAATTTGACAATGATTTTATAAATGGCATATGGTATCTGTACTGAGATGATAAAGTCTAGACTAAGAAACTGAACTGGTATCCCTGGTCTCATTCCATAGATAAAATACCATTTTAGAATGATACGCCCTTTGAGTGGATAGACATTTTCTTTTTTTTTTTCAGTTAAGAGATCCTACATCGCCTTTGAGATACCCCATAATAGTAAGACCGAACCTGACGCCAAGGTCTGAATTTCATGAAAGCTTAAACGAGGTCTTAGGGAGTTATTTAAAATCTGAGTTTCTCTCCCGTGATTTTGCTGTTACTATAAGATTATCTATTGAATAAGGCAAGAATGGTGGTATTCATTTCCCTGCGTGCCAGAGACTTTTCATGCGCGGGTTTCCGCTTTCGGCCAAGTCTTCAAGATCAATAATAATGTCTTTATATCTTTATTTTTCTTACCGTTAATCTTCATCCTCGCTTTCATAAAGGGGCAGACAGTTTCTTAGTTTTTTTTCTTCTTTTTTTTCAGAAGAAAAGAAAGGAGAAAGCTCGGGACAAACGCATGATAAATTCAGTGTTAGTTATCCAGAAGTGCTGGAGACGTCACCAAAAGCACTTAGAAAGCAGAAGGAGGGTAAATGCAGCCGTGAAAATTCAGTCTGGTAAACTGATAAAACTACTAAGGTTCAGCCCTGCAATACTACATGTATTAGCTCGTTATTGCCGCCACTCAGTTTTTCTGCCCAAACAAGAGTCCAGTTAATTTGTTTTGAAAACAATCCCGTTATTTTCGACCAACGACCACCTTTTGGGGTCTTCAGTCGTCATTTCCTTGAAAATTTTTGGCAGATTTAACGAAAACAATGCCATGTTATCAAACGGTACTGAAGATGACTTGTGGATTTTTCATAGTTCAAGCCGGTTTGTAGATGTACCCACCGTTGTCCCTGTCGTTGTGCTGTTTTTGCTAAATCTGCCTCTTTTGGTCGTTTTCATTCTTTCTTATCCCCAAAGCCACTCAGCTTAATTTGAAGGCCACGTGACCAAAAGAAACCACAGCAAGCTCACATAAAAGCGTTAAAAAGGTCTTTCCACTTTCCGTTGGCCTTTATTTGAAAAATCCCTTGGCTGGAAACGTAACAAATTTTCTTCTGAAATACCCTTGCATTGAAAGAAAGATCAATAAGGTCATAAAGATAAAATATTGTCGTACTCTTGTCTTGCTCTCGTCAAACCCAACCCAAACCCAACTTTTCATCTTAGCTTCTTCTTTATCTTACTTGTGTACAGTTTCTTCGAAAAGTTTTTCACCGTCTTTTCTTGCTCAAAGAAGAATAATAGCGAAAACATTTTGCAAAACAGCGAGTTTCTCGTTGCGAAGACACACGATGGCAACTGTTGTGAAGATTTCTTTTAGTTTAGGCATTGTCAAGTAGTCAATAGCTTTTTTGGTCTCCGTTTCTCCATTTTTCTTCTTTGTAAATAGCTCCTGCTAAACTTTTTCCGAAGCTTTCACTTGCCTCAATCCGAAATAATCTCACAAACATTTTCAAAACCGCGTGCCATGTTGAACAAAACAAAGAAAACAAGTTTCCCGTGACGTCATCCATGTATCTGTACTCTAATAGATCATGGGCAACGACCAATCACAGCGCGCGTAGCATTCACATCATTGTTTAAATATATATATATATATATACATATATATTTTTTTAATTAAAAGCGGTAAAGTTTGAAAAAACGCAAATTTATTTCTAGCGACGTTTTCACTGCCGTCGTCATCTTTGTTGCTTGTTACAGACCTTACAGAGACTGATGGTGTCATTGACTCGTCAATGAACCAAAAACAGAACTCTGCGGTCGCCTTTATAAATTTAACGTTAACGTTTTGATTGAATATTTAACAAACAGCTTCACTGTAATCCTTTCGTTCTAGTGTGGCGAGGATGGAAAGCTAGCAGAAATTTCAAGAGGGTTTTAAAAGCCATTAAAGTCATTCAACGCCACACCAGAAACTATTTAGTATTGAAGCGACTGCTAGAACACCTTTTGCAGACATTCAATAGGTCATCAGGTATAATATCACGCAGATACATTGAAAAGGTAACACACTTTATTGTTGTCTTTTAGTAACTGTAAGTTCATGATAGTAAACGTTACTCTAATTTGCTGTATTATGAATATACTTGTCTATCCATAACCCCCGGACAAAAGGCAGATAACCGCTATCAACTGGATGATAGCGCAATTGGCTTCACTAATACTTATCTAATGGAGCGCTACCAGCGTTTGAACAAACGGGTCATGGGGCCGTTTCTCGAAAGTGCCCGAAACTAAACGGGCCTGAAATCAAATATTCAAATCAAAAACTAAAGAAAAAGAGCTCGGAGCCTAGCTAACAAACTTTGCCACTTGGGTTTCTTAACTGATAGTTTTATCTTGTTCTCTAAAAAACTGTTGAAGCCTCTATTCCGAATGTACCCTATACCGCGAAAATGTAGCCCCTGCTCGCAGGGTATCCTGAATTTTAACAGCAACAGCGAGAAAAAGCTCTTGGACTCTTGCTTACTTCTCTTAAAACTGAGATACTTCTCTGAGTTTGTTCAGAAAGAGTGTAACCATCCTTATATAGTTCATTTTTCTTATCCCATGGCAGCACCTTCAAAAATTTCTTCTTTTATTATATGATCTTGTTTTCTAGGTTCCTGTTAAATTTCACTGCAGAGTGACCGCTCTTCCGTATGCCTACACCAGACCCCTAGCTTTGATTGACACGGTAAATATCTTGCTAAAATATACCCCCACCCCACCCCCAATCAGATATGAAAATTACCTCCAATAGACCACGTTTGATATTATTAAAATTCTAACATGACTCCGAGGCTTTAGGGACAAAATTGCAGATTGTTTATGACTCTATTGTCTCGCAATTCCCAGAAGAGACTTGAACACAAAGAAAACCAAACCAAATATAAAAAAATGACCAGAAAGCCTCGTAGTCCGTGTTAGTATAGTTAATAGCATGATTTGTAGTGATATTTGGCATAAATACCACGAGTGATATTTTAAAATTGTTATACGTAATTTCACGAGCCGCTAGGCGAGTGAAATTTGAGACAATTTTGAAATGTCACGAGTGGTATTTATGCCAAAAATCACGTACAAATCATGTTATTATTTGTTTATACTACTACCCGCAAAGGTTTTGTAATTTTCACATGTAGGTATTTCAAATTAAGCTGAAATACCACTTCTCTAAGCCAATCAAATTGCAGAAATTTCTCATGTAGTAGTATAACAATATTAATATATTGAACGTGGGCTATTGGATCTAGGCCAAATGTTGACATAAATAGTCCATTACATACTTGTACCTACAAAGTTAACAGGACAACGTTGCTTCCTTGATGTCCTGAAGATAATTGGACTGTTGTTCTTGACAGTGACTATGGGACTTTAGCACCAGACGTTCTTGGTACCACGGACGCCAACCGGAAGTATTTTTGCAGCATGACAGCCACTGCGCATATCAAGATGTTCTTGAGCTGCGGTCACTACTGGCTGGTAGTGGATGAATTTTGGTTACTGGTTTAGAATTTCTTTTAGAACCAGTTTTGTTTTTAAGATAGGAGAATAAAGAGTGGTACGTAAGAATCAGATCAATAACTTGGTGCCGTCTCAAAGGCGTAACAGCAAATTTATCGGCTTTCCTCTTTATGACTTCTTTTTTCAGTTCAGCTAATGTGAACGTATTAAGATTACGTCGTAGTTAAATTATTTCGGGATCCATATATTAATAAGATATATAATTCTAGTATTGGGATCTGGATAACCAAATCCAAATGCAAATACTAAAACACGTGCTAATTATTTCATTCTAACAATTAGTATACGCGATAACTTATAGTTGGTAAATACATCGTCGAGGCAAAAGGTACAAACAAATTCAGAGCCAAAAACACAGTGTTCAGTAAGACGTCGGCAAGTAGTACAATATTTAATTATCCATATAAATACATTAGATAATTCGATGGATTATTTTATAATGGGTTTTTAGTGTTTCCTTATTAAGGAACAGTTTATTACAATACTTACATGGCACTCTTATACCTTTCGTATATTCATGGACTGCTTTGCAGATCTTATCATAGTCATTACATAGGATATATGCATAGCCATTATTAACGTACCGCTTTTCATCTCTTTTTGAGCATCTGATACACGGTAATTGCCTGTGGGACTCTTGAATTCTATACCTAGGCCTATAAAGTCCTTATGATAATTGAATACCAGCGGGTCTGGCTGGCCTTTCATATATCGCTTTTTACATGAGTCCAGTCTCTTGTCCTCAGTATCCTGGTTTTCCCCGTGACCGGCTACTAATATAGAGTCAGGATAAAATCTTCTTATCATGTCCACTACTTTATAATGTAGATCAGTCTCATTGCCAATCATGATCATCTTATTATAGGGGTTATCAAACAGTTTATATTGGCCATATTTTCTGATGGATGGAAGGACTTGTGATGTTACCCAATGTTTGAATTTTTTTGCTGTTTCCAATTTTGAGGATAAGATGAGGGAATAAAAGCCAGATTCATTAATATATGTGCATATCAGGGGGGGGTGATGAACTCGTCAATCGCTCCTATAGGGATCGCGCGGCGGACGATCTTGGCCATCGTGACGTCACGAGAAATTTATCCCGGGAACTTTAAATGGTTCAGCGAGCGAAATTGTTTCGTGGTTTCAAGAGGTAAAAGTCGAGACGTTGCGATGAAACGACCGAAGGTATGTGTTTATCTATTAATGCTATATAGTAAAATTGCAATATATTCTAAGAAAGAGCATTTCCATCGTAAAAAATCAAGAACTTCCCGAGATCGACCAAATGGTACAACTCATACCGGGGCGTCTTTAGAGACGCATAACTAAAGAGCTCAGCAGAATTTAGTCTCGAGAAAAACAAATGACGTTAATATGGTATGGGTCTCTCAATTAGTGATAGAAGTGAGTCATCTAATAAGTTAGCAAAAATGATCAGTGGGATAAAAGTCGCAAACCTCAGGGATGTTTACAAAAATTGCGAAAGTGGCGTGGACAGGTCACGAAACATAGCGTCATGATGCTCATACTAGACTATCAAATTGTGTAAACAATTTATTACAACTAAACAAATGTAAGAAGCAAGTGTTTTTTTTATAGAATATGGGCTATAATCTCCAAGAGTTTTGAAAGGATTTCCTGTTTGAGTCAAACGTATCAAAATGTTAATAAAGCGTATTGAATCTAATCGTCGCGCGAAAACCAAGGATATTATTATAGCTTATTATATTGCAACTGTTCACGATAAATTACGATTATTTTGTCAAAACATTTATTGCTCATGATGGAGATAAGTTCACATTGCCTTTCTCTTTGCTTCTTCGCCCCACAAACAAAGGAGAACATGGTTTTTATCCTGTAAATAGTCAAACAGAATCTATTACTAGGGTAAAGTGCCGTGAGCTAAAGTTTTTTATCAACATCAACATTTTTAGGGCTTTATGCAGAGAATCTAGGAGGAGGAGCCGTAGAAAGGATGGGTATGTAGCTTCTCCTTAATCGCTTTACAGAGTTAATAGAAAAAAAAAACTAGAAAAAGCCAACAAAACGGACACTAGTAAGCGTTTCAATGGTGTAATATTGGAAATGTGTTTCCTCGGGCGTCCGCATCTTGAAAATGAGGGAGGGAAAAAATATCTAAGGATATAAAAAATTGCAGGATTTTCATGCGATGAATATCGTCACCCTTCTCACACTTTTACAATATAAAAAGAGACTTCTTTATGTTACATTTTTTCGGTTTTCCTTTTTGCATAGTTCAATAAAGACACCAAAGTTCAAGAATGACCATATAGTTCAATAACTACACAAGTTCAGAAAATGACATGAGTATCAATGTATGTTTATTAGGTAATGTCAAGGCAGGGGATCTACTGGGAGTGGGAGTGCAGGGGCATCAGTTTAATTTTCAATCATTGATGCTTTTTAACTTACTTGGACTCCATGCTATTGTCAGTTACATCAAGTGACACTGTCCAGTTCCAACAATCTTCGGGGCCTGCTCGTACAGTTTTATCACCCAGCTGATGTAGCTTTGTGGTAATTTCTTGGTGGGCGGAAATTAGTAAAGACAATCATTCCATGACTATAGGTGTTCCATTATAATAGCTCTAAAGCCCATCTTTAAAATTTGCTGTTGTACTGCCTCTGCTAATATATTTCACATAGCCTTGCCATTGCTATAGTATGATTACAGTGAGGTTGAAAGGTATTCATTTAGCTATTGGTTTAAGATTAGAAACCAGTCTTTGGGATTATCTTGATAGGTTGCTTGAAGTAACAAAAATTTATAATTCAAGGGAGACATATTTTTTTACCGTTGCTTGGGGGGGGTGGTGGTGTTTGTGGTTTAACTCACCTATATTAATGTGAAGTTTAGGGAGTAGGTGAGGAAAACCATTATAATATCTGATTTAAGAGATGCTTAACAAATAATTAGGGATTTTAAGTGATAATATTGCCTTTATTGATTTATTTTGTTTTGACTTTTGTATATATAATAATCTCTTTTTATCTGACTGTTTTTATAATTAGGTGCTTCCTTCGTTTGGGATACTCTGTAGATGATGAGAAAAAACATTCAGTGTATGATGGAGGAGGTGCTGCTTACTGGATGTCTGTAAAGACCTAGTATAATAGATTCCACGAAGAGAGTAGTGCGGTGCAGGAAGTGGAGGATGTTAGATGGAGTGGATTCCATGGAGCAAGAAGAGACCATACAGGATACGAGAAATTAGAATAACCAGTTTCCTTTTATTTTTTCTATACTGAACAAATGTGTTTTCTTTCTTGCATAACAGGTCTGACTTAGACTTGTTTACATTTAAAAACTTTGCACATTGACTTTGATTAAAAGAAATGGTTTGTTATCAATAAAATTTTCTTACACTGGTGTTTTTCTTTTACTTCTTCTTTAACTTTTTGGTCTCTCCTAGAATTTGGTTAGCCAAGCAGTCTAGCTGCCCTAACATTCGTTGCAGTTGGGCAGCTACCCGGTGCTTCGCCTCTATTACTGTGTTTTTAATTTCTTTTGCTTTTTGTTTTAACCTTTCTTCTTTTCCTTTCAACTCTTTCTCTTTTCTTTCAATTTCCTTTCTCCTCTCCTCAATCTCAGTGGCTGCCAGTCAGCTCCTTACTTCTATTTCTTCTTCCAGGGATAGCTGTAAAAATGAGTAACCGACCTATAATAATCTGTCTATTATTGTTAACTTATCTTACCCCCATCTCTACGATAATAAAATATGATGAGGTCATCCTTTAAAACAAAAAGCATCCTATCTGTTTGTTGAAGCCTTGTTTCATCAGGTACGGGGAGGGGAGGTGAGGTGGAGTAAACGCAAATAAAAATAGCCATAGGGGAATGGCGCGAGTTTTGGAGAAAAGGCCTGTTTCCATTCGTGCTGACGTCATTATGGTACCGTTTGGCTGAGCCCTATCTGCATTTTGTTATTTTAAGATGCCTTTTGCTTTCCCAGAAAACCATGAGATTGGGAGTCTTGCCCTATCAGCACTTTGCTAGTGTCACCAGGGGACTTCTGTAAATTATATAAATGAGTTACAGTACTTTCTCATTTCATTTTTGTTTGTATAAAGCTTGTTTTACTCATTTGATATCTTAAAATTTGAGGTACAATTTGCTCCGCACAAATAAAGATATTAATGCAAATGTATATCATCATATCTCTGGGAGTATTTCAAATGTTTCTGCCTTTTATTTGAATGGTACTTAGCTCCTTATACAGACCTGCCAACCCCTCATAAAGGAAAATCTGGAGACTCATGGAAAAAAATCGGGAGATTCTAGAAAAAGTATAGTGAGATTCTATTTTTTCCCAATCAAAATTAAACAACCCCTTTTCCATTAGGGGAATAAACTGTTTATTTTAATATAACCTTGCTTTAGTGTGGTCCCTTATGTAACAAATTAGATGCCGCTTTTTCTTTGATGACTTTAAGAGGCCAGAAAATAGGTTATCACTGTGACGAAACATACAGCAGAGTCATTTCTTTGGTCTAAGACAACTTCATCCAGGCACAAGAATTTCCCCACAAAATTTATGTTTTTATTAAACAAGGTAATATTTCAATTTAGAATATTTCCCAGAAAACCATGTTATTGGGAGTCTTGTGGTGAGACCGTGAGAAAAGTTAAAAAATCGTGAGACTCAGAGCAGAATTGTGAGAGTTGGCAGGTCTGCCTCATGTGACATTTCCTATTGAAACCTGTACGTAGTAGGAAGAAACTTTGTATTAAGTGGGCACTACAGCATTCTCTGAGATGTCCGCTTAAATTATGCAAGTTTCACTGTACATGTTTGACTCCATTCGCACTAACTATTGATGTGGAACGATATGAAATTGCTTCATGCATAACAGATGTACATGTTTGGAGCTGTAAGTAAATCTTATTAATTTTTTTTTGCTATTTATGAAAACATAATGTAAGCTTATAGGTATTACAGAGAAATATCCTTTGCTTCAACAAGATGGTACAACCTTCAAGTGTTAAAAAAATATATATTTCTGGTGTAATTATTATAGATACATAGTGTTGAGGCCTTGAGGGAAGTCTTTGGTTTCCTTTTTCTTAAAACCGAAAAATAATTGACTTACATTGTGCCGGGGTAACCGAGTCGAGGTCATCTGTTTATATCAATATTAAGCGCACTCGAATGGACTGATCATTTTTACTGCTAATTTCTCCCATTAAACATCAAGGACAATGTTTTCCACTATTGCTGACCTACCCTTCTGCCAAGTTTCGAATTTCCACACCTAACCGATTTTCTAAAACATGCGATGTTAATATGCGATCATGCAAATTTCTGCGACAAATATTCCACTTGAAAAAATTGGCTTAAACTGTTTACGAGGTAATTATCAACAGAATATAATACAATTAACTCTCCTTCTCGGAAAGCTGAAAGAGCTGTTGCAACTATACTTTCCCTCTAACAGAAACTACTTTAAAGTTTACTTATCCCGAAAAGACAGCTTGA